GGACAAAATAGAAGATGAAGGTATCGAACTAATTAAATCAATAAACGAGCATCATGACAGAATACAGAACGGTAGTTGATTTATCAAATTATTAAATCTTTTAATATTTATTGATTAGAACAATTCATTCAAATGAATTCGAATCAAATAAAATATTATAAAATTTATGTATCTAGTTGGATTTGCGTCTCAGGATGACAAAGTAAAACTTGAAAGTTTATATAAGGATGCTATTAAACAGGCCAGCCGTGAAGAAGAGTAATTATTTCAATTTTTAATTATCATACCTATTGTATTTTCATATATATCCATTTCTTTTCTTTTTTTGAATAAGTTCAGAATGGGTAAAAAGATCTCAAAAGACATCGAGAAGTATTTGGAGTCCACAAAAGAATCCCGAACATCATCGGGTATTGTCTTTTGTTATTGAGCGTCAATTGCTATGTTATCTAAGATTATAATTTTTCAATATCTGTGTTAATTTTAATGTTAGATGGCTTAAATATGGAAGAAAATCCCTATAAAAAAAGAAGAAGTCAAGAAATCACTTCAGGTAGCAATAAGGCAAAAAAATCAAAAGTGTATGTACAAATGCTTAATGTATTTCTACTCTTTTGTATTTAACGCCATTGAATTTTTGGTACTATTAGATCGCAAATGAAAAGTAACGTTATTATTAAAAATGGAACATCAGTAAGTTTTTTTTTTTTTGGAGTATTATTATTATTACATAAACAGAATTTAGTTTTGTGACATGCTGGTTTATGTGTTTGATAGGTCGCGGCAAAACAACCGAAAGATAAAGACATAGAAGAAAATTGGATTTTGGCCACAATTGTAGGATATCGAACTGATTTAAAGAGGTAACAAAAATCGCGTGTAACATTAACAAAATTTTCCAATGTGCTCTAATTCTAATAATTCACCTAATATAATTAAGCTACGAAGTCGAGGATGCAGATAAAGATGAGGCATCAAATAGGCCTGGCGAGTAAGTCCCTCTAATTTTTTTTGCCATCCTTGGTTCACAATTCAAACATTTCCACATTTCCTATTCTTCAATCTTATGTTCTTATCCTTTGTTAATACAGACGATTTTTAGTACCAGCAAAAAATGTTATAGCGATTCCAAATCCTGGAGAAATGCGATCACCGGAATTTCCTAAAGATTCAACAGTCATAGCATTATATCCTTCTACAACATGTTTTTATAGAGCTGTTGTAGTTATTCCACCAAGTAAATTAACACCAAAATCTTCACGATATTTACTTACTTTTGAAGATGATGAAAATGCTGAGAGATATGTTGAGGCACATTATGTGTTGGATATCCCTAAGGAGAGGTAGATTGTAATAAACGAGATATTATTCTATCCGTACCAAACAACCAAGTTTATAATTTATTCGATAAAGTACGAATTCCACATCAAATCCGGACAAAGATTGCATGAAGAAAATTTTTTAAAGGATCACCAGAATATCTTTGGTACAATGCATATTCTACCTTATCTAGGATTTTCTTAATGATCTTTTTAACAAAACGATCGTGTAAAATACCGATTTATATAAAATAAATTATTCTTTTTGTAAAAATTTAATATTATTTATGTTCAAATAATTTTTGTATTATTAATATAAGAGCACTAAAATAATAGTATAAATAGGTTAAATTATCATTATTT